TAGGGCCCCAGCGAGCGCCGACCGAAGGGAGGCGTGAGCATTGTGTTCGATTTATAAGTCACCAAAGGGCGTTCGCTCGCGCAGATCCAACTTAATAAAGTCAAGGGCCCGAGCGAGTAGAAACGAGCGTTATCTTGTGAAGCAATTTCGAAAATTTTAATTTTAGTGGAGCTCCTCCAATACAAATTATTCATTTTTTTATTCTTATTTGAGGCATGGCCAGTGAATCAGATGTTTACAACTGTTACGTTGGCGATAGATGTTGTTGTTGGATGGAAATACGTTGTAAAGGTATATAATAGCTTAGTGAATTGTCTGATTGACAATATTTTTTTATGGTTAGGTGGTACTGGTCACGGTTCTCGTTTTATTGAAAATACTGCTGGAGAAAAAGTTCAATTTATTCTTAGTGAAATATTAAAATACCGTGAAAGCGAAAGACAACGCTTACTCAATGATAAAAATTTACAACTTGGTGATGTCAGTACCGTCAATTTGACAAAAATGTATGGCGGTGTACAACCAAATGTTGTTCCCGAATGTTTTTCACTAGTTTTTGACTGTCGACTATCAGCAAATAGTTATGAATCATTTAAAGCATTTATCTATGATGTAGTAGAACGAGCACCAAAAAAAAATAAAAATGATGTTGAAGTAAATTTTTTAGCTGATAGTGGTCCATTAACGCTAACCGATATCTCTACACCATCATGGTGGTGGACAAAATTTAAACAAGCATGTGATAACATAAATATCAAAATAAACACTACCGTATTTCCAGCAGCCACTGATAGTAGATTTTTGAGAAACAATGGTTATCCAGCATTGGGATTTTCACCGATGAATAATACACCGATATTATTGCATGATCATGATGAATATTTACATCAAGATGTTTTTTTACAAGGTATCAAAATTTATTGTGAAATAGTGAAAAGTTTAACGAGTTGAATGGAAAATATACACTCGTTTGGCTTCGGTACTTTTCATTAGTCACTAATTTTTATGAACTGAATCGTTGATGTTTTTATTTTTTCTAAAGTCTTCTTATTCAATCATTGATTTTGAAAAAATCTTTTTATTTTAATTTGATTTGATTTTTTTACAGTGCAATATAGTTGTATTGATTACTTGATATTCGTATTTTGGAATATCTTTCGTCTTTACATTTTCGATCCTAGTATGAACACTAATTAAGTATTGAACATGTTTACAACCGTGTTTATGTAAGAAAAACGATATTTATGAAATATTTTTTTGATTTCTAGATTGTATCTATAATAATTAACACAATGGTTGTAGCTGTGTAAGTATTAAGGTAGTTTTTTAGAAACTTATTGTTTTTGACTGTTAATGAGTATTATTTTTTAGAGTGTTACCGTTGCCAACAGCTCAATTTAAATCTGTTGTTGATGCGCATGATTATTATGTTGATAAACTAGAAAAAGGTATAAAATTTTATAAAATTATGATGAATATGATTATTATCTTGTCTATTCTATCCTTAGGTGGTACTAAACGAACTCGACAATTTCAAGTTGAATTAGTAACATATCAACCGTGTAAGTATACGTCAATCATACACAGATTTAGTTTTGACTTTTTGTTTTTGTCTAGTAAATGGTTCAACAAATATGGTTCACGTTTTATCCCATAGTGAATATCCGGCATCGTGTTTTGCCGTTACTGATACACGACATGTTTTAGTTGCCGATCATACATTCATGTCATTAATGAAGAAATTAAAAACATTGAAAGCATATGATTCACGTTTACCAAAAATGGATTGTAAAGGAACACATTTTGAATATCAAGATTTTGTTATTAATATTGGAACCGTTAGTCAAGCACAAAATGCGAAAGGACTTATTTTAGAAGTAGACATATATATACATAATCGTCAGACATATAATAATAAGTAACATTTATTTTTCTTAGGTTGCCTATTTACCTACCAATGAAAGTCGTGAAGGTTATTCATTGATACAAGAATTGTTACAATCCTTATTGGGTGTGTCAAAACAAATTATACAAAAATCTATAACAGAGCCTTTAAAAAATTGGATTTCAAACAAAGAACGAAAAGAATTTGATTATTTACCATCTTTAACAATGAATCAATATTTGGATATTTTATCTGGAATGAGAAAACAGCCAAATGAATAAACAATGTAGAACGCGAAAACTCATTGTTATTCTAATTGAATCCTTTCGTTTGATCGTAAGATTGTGCATTAATTGTTGAATTTTTACAATCATTTTGAAAGGTTTTTTGCTCATTTATATTTCTAAAGTTGTTAGATAAATATTTTGTACATAGTCTTTGTCCTCGTGCAAGTAAATTGAAGAAATACATTTCAAGAATGTGCGAAAGAAACTTGATTCGATTCGTCTATGCCAAAATCATTGTATCAGGTGAACCAGAAATAACTAACTGATCACTTTTGAAAGCTAAATATGTCTAACTAAAGCAGTATTTCAATGTTTCATTTTATAATCAAAAGATACAGAACATAACATTTAGAATATTAGAATGTTGCAGTTTCAAACCTTCTCTATTGATTTTACCAAAAGATGCACATTTTCAAACTCTACCAGAAATGTCTTTTTTTTTATAAAAATTATTCTTTTCCTTTGTCACAAAAAATTGGATATAGCCCTAATTAATTAAAAACTGCAGTATCAGTAGTATTTTCTCTTCAAATTCCGAATTTAACATCGGAAGTTTCATACAAAAAAGATGAAGAATTTCCTACTCTATAGAAGTAGGTTACTTTCAACTCACTTTTATTGAACAATACTACGGAAAACGTCTACAGACAGGTCATCAAACCATGCAGTTCACAAGTAAGTGACCTCTGATAATTAGTTTTCTCTTTATAATGAAAAGATGCAGAATAGTCTAGAATTTAATAGGGGAAGGTTTGAAAACTGGAACACTCTGATACTTTAAATGTTATGTCAAGAAAATTCAACTAATTTTCAAATCAAATATAGTTTTATAGAGAATGAAGTTTTGTATCGTTTGGTTATACAACTAACGGTTTAAAAGTTGATTTAATCAGATAAATTTAGCTTTTAAAGAAGTGATCAGTTATATTTTGCCCATTCAACAGAATATGAGATTTTTTGATACATATACTCCGTAGGTTGACTTGTATAACAAAAAATATGCCTATGACTGTAAAGTGCTTCTACAGTCTAATGGCCACTGAAATTAGGTTACCCCTGTGCATCTGTGCCCAAAGGTAACGAGACAATGAGCATTAGATAGCTTGTCCAAGGCTACCACGTGACCGCCGTTGTGTTTTTATATATCATATCCTGAATAATTCGTATAAAAAAAAAACAGCAAGCATTACAATAGTTGGTCAAGTCCTCGCCATTTCTACATAGGTTTGCATTAAATCACACGAGGCTTGTATATCTTTAAACTCGCCATTCATTTTTTGCATTTATTTTATCTAGTACTATTCTGTATACATTTCCTAAACTATCATACCAATGATATGATCATGCTCAGTTGCCAAAATTTCTAATTCTTTATGGGGTTATTTAGCTTGTCTATCTGTTATAAAAATGATAACATGTTTTAAATGATGATAATCTATATCTTTCAGCCAATTGTTTGGTTGAATAATTTAAATACATACGTAAAATGTGATTCTGCCATGTTCATTGAAATATTTTGTAATTCTTCATTTAAACAACATAATATTGATTTTTTAAAATGCGTATAATTGTTATACGATCTTTTATATTTGCTTCTATTCGAAGTTTAATAAATTCTTGAACGGCTAGAATAAGATCGTTGAAAATCTACATAATTTTATTAAAAAACACAAATTCAAACATTATATTGTTGCTATTCTTATTTTCGTGTTTTGTTGTTTTTTTTCAACGTGCCGTTAATGTTGAAGAAAGGTGACATAAATATGAAATTTTAAACAAAAAATAACTTCGATATTTTTATTCTTCAAAGCTTCTCTCACTGATTGCGGTTATTAATCTTTGATTAACAGAAGAACCTAAGTTTTTTTAATCATTTCATAACTTTAACAAATACCACCTTTTACAATATAGTTATTATCTATTTATTGACACATCACTTTTTTTCTAATCTTTTCAGAATAAATACAAACGTAATAGAAAAGATATCTCTGTCTGCATTTAATCTATACACACTAATAGCCAATGGATCAAAAGTCTCATTCTATTCTTCTAGGCCTTTACTTTTCCCCTGTTAGAGTACTGACAAGTATCAGTTTTATAGAAATTTGACAAATTTTGATAAAAAAATCCTTCATTTGTTTTCGTTTTGCCACTGATATAGCTAAATCATAGTTTGAAAAATAGTATGAAAAATTTATTATGATACCCACGTTTATAATTGAGAAGTTTCTCAGGATCCATTTGAGTTTCGCTTTTTCATGTGAATAGAATATTCATCCACATTTGATCTACAATTACTGACCAGAACAATGAACAAAATTCGACGTCATCAAATAAAAAGAATTATTTATTGTTTCTTTGGTCTCTTGAATTTTTTTAATATTTGAGATCAGTTTGTTGTATTTATACTTCGATTATCTACGTACTTGCGTGACAACAACTGCAAAACTAATTTCTTGTACATTGTAAATTTTCTTTCTTTAGAACTTTAGGCAATTTTTCTTGCTAAGACTTTTTTTTGTACTCCAAGAAGTTTGATTCTTTTTATCATTTTTAACTATTCGATCAAAAGTCTATCGAAACTATTCTATTTGACACGAAATTTTATTTTGAAATTAACCATATGTTTGACTTAAGAATCAACCAGTGCATAGATGCTTAATCGATGTTCGAATTTTTGATTTATATATTCATTGTAAGTATAGTCAATATATTCAGAAAGATTATGTTGAGTTTATAGAGGCTTTTCGTTTTAAAACCGTAGAAAAATAAAGTGATCCTGAAAAAGAATTTTGATGTTTTCAAATGTTTTGGTCTATAATAGAAATTTTAAACTCTCATATTCCCAGTATCGATAGAATAGGTCAAGCACTATCTATAGCCAAAACCATATATGAGATTGTGAGTTTGTATGTGTTCAAGTCTAGATACGCACCAATACAATACATTGGACACTAATAATATTGAGTACCAATATTATTGGATATTGAATCGCTTGAGTTAAGCCCACTTTTATGAATATAAATAGTATTAAGGTTAAAAAGTTTGGATCCAGTATATTGTGGAACCCAATATATTGGGTATACCATAATATTGGATCTGAATATTATTGTATAACTGATAATATTATACAATATCTTCAATAATGACTGGTATTAGTGCATACCTATTCAAGTCCATGTAAAGAGAAAAAGCGAGTAAATAATTTTCTATTATAAAAAAAATTCTATTTTTATTTATTTAAAAACAGTCTGTCCCAATTTGAAACAAATCTCACACATACATATATTCTTGAGATAAGACGATAGCAGACCATCAAAAACAGAACAATATGCTGAAATTAACTAAAAAAGATGAAAGTACAGAAAAATAGTATACTGCATTATATTCAGACCGGAACTAACAGAAGGCATCAAACACCAACGAGGAGAAAAAGACTAGAGTAATCAGTCTTATCTTCTTTCATTTTCAGAAAAATAAAATCGAATTAGGTGTATCGATACATAAAAAAAATAACAAATTTTTCATTTTTTATGTATGAGATTCTTTTTCTTACATTTATATAACCTCTTATTCTTTCAACTACCAAGAAGACAAACAGATTTACAATAAAATGATTATTATTTATCATTTTACAACTGAATTAATTATTCTAGAGTTTTCACAATTGAAAGGAAAAAACCAAAACTTTTTAAAACGAAAAACCAGATTTAAAATTAAATGATAAATAGTTTGAGATGAAAAACAAACTACATTAGTGTCAATCTTCCATATAACATTACTAAACTTCATAACAGCATCCAGTAATATATAGAAAACAGAGACAAGCAACTGATTAGAAACTAGAAAATATCGGGATACTCTCTACTTGAGAAGTCGACAATTTTGAGAACAAGTCAGAGAAAAGAGTTCAACAATTTTCAGTTTACTTTTCATTAACGATATAAAAAAGAAAAAGATAATTAATCGAACTTTACTCTCGTATCACACACACAAAAAAAAAGGCGGAAGTCATAATAAATCGGCGTAAAAAAAACCGAGAAATTAACTGACTTTGGTTTCATTGCACGAAATGCATGAAAAAAAAGAAAGATAACAAACGTCAAAATATCATTAATCACATGACTAAAAAGAGTATTTTTTGCTAAAAAAAGAAACATCATCATCATCTGCGCTGGAAGGCATTTTAGTTTTGTGTAGTAAATAAAAACAACGAAAAATAAAAGTTAAGCAACATGGTTTGTTTTAAAAAAACAAAAAAGACGTAAAAAATCCTGTAGGTCTATGTATGGAATGTTTAAGTTTTAAAAATAAATTACTAATAGACTAACAAACAATTGGTTTATCTATAAATATTTAAAAGAAACAAACAAAAAAGCAGCAACTAATGTCTTGTTTTTCAAATTTCCAAGTATCTTATTTTTCTTACAGATTGTTATAGAACAAAAATATTATCTGATATAAATATGAAAAGCGGTAAACACATACACACACATGCAGAATAATTATTTTAAATCTTTCAAACGACGGTGTTCATAACGTTTCGAATATCTTAAAGAGATAGTATCACCCACTTCATCAATAGCAGATAAAGCCTACAATAAATAAAACACCAAACTTTATTCAGTATCAACAATAATCATAATTCTATAATCAAGTAGTAATGTTTTAAATGACAATTGCATCATCACTTACTTTATCTAACATTTCTCTTGTATGAGACGCCGATATACAGAATCGTACGCGTGCTTCTACTAACTTTGTGGCTGGAAATCCGACCGTGACAACAGCGATTCCTCGTGCAAGCATTTCTCTATTGAATCGACTACAATAAACATCGTAGATATTGTGTTTATGAATAGTAAATATTTCTAAATGAAACTTACGTCACACGAGCTGGCATATAAATCATCATCGGCACTATCGGAGAATTTTTATTTCCATAAACAATAAAACCCATATCAACAAGTTTTTTTCTAAAATATCTAGTATTATCAGCCAGCTGCTGTATTCTTCTCATGCCTGAAATTGATGATACTATGTAAGCAAACATAAAAAATCACAAATAAACTATTCTCACCATCTTTTGTTCCGTCCCGACCCATTAGAATATGCAATGATGATAATATTTGATATACAACTGGAGCGCTCATACTTGATGCATAATAATTCGCATGAGAATGAATACGTAGGTGATCAATTAAATCCTAAATGAGGAACTTCTCAATCATCTTTCCACTTTCATCTTTTTGTTTTCTAACCTTCTTTCCGGCAATGTAGCCACCAGAACTTCCAAAACTTTTTGTAAACGTTCCCATTAATATATCAATATCATTCGGATCCATATTGTAATAATCAACAATTCCTCTACCATTTTTTCCCATGGAACCAATTGAATGAGCCTCATCCAAATACAAATAAGCCTTATATTTTTTCTTCAATTGTACTAATAGCGGCAAACGACAAATTGATCCTTCCATTGAATAAATACCCTCGACAATAATAAATATCTTTCTCCAAGGACGATGATGTCCAGGTTGTCCATAAACAATTGCATTGTGTAATTTTTGTTCTAAATCATCCATATCTAATATAAAAAAGAATTGCTATTAGCTTTTATATTTAAAAAATACAATATATACGTCTACCGTTATGAGCAAACGTTTGACTTTTTGCTCCAGACATTCTAACACCTAGTATAAGTGAAACATGATTTAATTTATCCGAGAGTATTAGATCGCCCTAAAAATAAAAAACGTTTTTACTAGTACTAATAGTTGTGTGAGGAAACACTTTAATGCAAGATATCGCAAAAGAAGACGCACTTTTGATGCTATAGCTGGAATATTCAACGCATTTGTGGCAAAACCCTAAAAAAAGAAATATCAAAATAATTAAGTTTGAAGTTTAATATATATATATATATTATTTATCTGACCATTCCGAATGCTATACAACTTTCAACTCTCAAATATTCTGCTAATAAAGTTTCCAATTCATTATGATAACGTTGTGTACCTTCAACACGTAACAAGACAATTAAACAGGATAATTCGTCCCGAATATTTTCTCATTTTTTACCCAATTCAGATCTTGTACTACATAATGCAGTACCATTACTCTTAATTGAATTAATTGCAGCCATTGCGCATTGTCCGTCTTTTTCTGCAAATCCTAGGTAATTGTATGAGCCAAAATTAATTGCACGAATCGTATTTCCAGTATATCTAAAACAAACAAAATGAGAGAACGATCGATCAACAGATTTTCAGGATGTGAAATACCTGTACGTCCAGTTATAATCATCTGAAATACGTTCGACTAAATCAAATTCGCTAGAAGCCACACTGCCAACTGGTCTATTGAAAATATCACGCACTCTTGTGTACATGTTACGCGTGTAAAATGACTCATAACTTTGATACAACGGCACAAAATTCTAAAGCACAAGAAAAAAGACATTGTTTTTTTTGAAAGAAAGATAAGTGTTCATTCTGACTCACGAGTTTTGCATTTGGATCAAGAGCGCCTTTCTTTTTCTCGATGTACGACTGTCTCAAAAAGTCTCTTAACCATCCAAATATACAGAGAACTCCATAACTTAAATATGTTAACAAGGCGGCATACAGTGGGGTCCCTTCAAATTCTTCAAATTCACAATTGTCTTCGGTTTCTTTTACCTAAAACATAAAAAAACGAGCTGATGTAGGATAACAAAGACGAGAAGTGATTTATTAAATTTAGTTTTGCTCAGAATTGCTTTGTATCAATTTTCATATCTACCTTTTGGCAGTTCATCTTCTATGTTTCGTAATGAGGTATTCGAAAACACCAAAAAGGCAAAAATATACAGAAACAACAAACATTATTATGCTGTATCCATCACCCATTAGCTTATTTGTCTTGTGATACAAATAAATCTTGCGATTTAAATATGCGCTAAAGGTACACATTTAAGAAAGTGTCTCTTTCAATTTAAGTGACAAACATGAATGATGTATGCCTTTCTTTGATGTTGTTTTGTATCTAAATTCAAATAAAAACTTACGGTGCATCTGTGCTGTGCTGGAAGAATAGATGGCTTCATTTGTTTTGATCCAAACATTTTCGTGTGTTATAAAGATGTCTTCCCTTTTAGAAAAAAAGTCGATAGAACAAAAAAAATTAACAATAATATTAAAAGACGTTAGTAATATTTATCAGAACAGATGATTCATTCGTGTGATCTAACGACCGGTTTAATACAGAATGCACAGTACTTTCTAAATAAAGACGGTACTCGACTGAACCTAAAGAAGGTTTAAACTTGTATCACCATCTATACACCTTTTTAAGGTTTCGTAAACTATATACCGTTTTACTTAGCTAAATTCGTGATTGGGAAAAGCTTGGGAACACTGAGAAAGCACTTTTTTTTGTGTTTTTACACAAATTTTTTCCAAGCAAAACTGTGTGACGGATTTAGGGTGCTGTACGAAACCTTAAGAGGTTTCGTAGTCTGTATGAAACCTTAAAAAGGTGTATAGATGGTGACAAAAGTTTAAACCCTTTTTAGGTTCGGTAGAGTACCTTTTTTTTTAGAGAGTAGTAGTGAATGCATTTTTAGGGACCGTTTCATCAATAATCTAAAGCTCAAAATCAATTGACTTAAGGCTCCCACACACTCTAATAAGCTATTTCGGTAACAATAAGCCCGATCCCCACGAAACTTTCAGAGAATAGTGACCACACTCTCTAAAAAACAATGGTTCCCTACAATATCTCAAAAGTTTCGTGAATTACTTTTAAACTTTTAATGGTTTCCTGTTTGTTTACTGAATCTCTAGGAGTTCCATAAATCGAAAGGTTTTATGCTGAATATATGAAACTAGGAAGGTTTCGTAGATAAATACAATAGACGATATTCGAATTCGAATTTCAACTAGCTAAGATTGAAATTCGAACATCAACTAATTGCGACACTAATGGTTCTAAACTGCGAGCATCATACTCAGCATGGTCCTATAAAAGACCTATAAAAAAATCTTTGAAATACTTTTTTACTTTAAATCGTAAAAAAGAGTATGAAAAATGTTTTTTGGGAAGGGCTTTCGAAAAAGTCCCTAGAAAGCTCCTAAAGACCATTTCTAGGAAGACTAAAATTAGCTCATTCGATAGAGAATATCTTGGGCTATTTAATCGTGTATTTATCTCAAAATCGATTTTAGGTGCGGAGGAGCCTTTAGACAAACCTTGGAGGAGATTCTAGTAGAAGTTGATTTTCTGAGTATAACTCATGTCTGAAATGAACACATCAACATTAATATTGTTTGTTGAGAAAAAGTCGATGAATATAAATAATAATATTTGTACGAAAAAAGTCAACCTGTAGTGTTTAAAGTTCGTTCAGTGGCTCAATCAGGCGATGATCACCCCATTCACTATAAATATATATATACGTTGTTCCTCTTATTATGTTACTATGCTATGGATAACTTTAGTCTGAGTTGAAAGCGTCTACATTATTAAATAAAAACTATGAATTTAGTTAAATTCTTCGTACAAATATTATTCACGAACACATCAACATGTAGTCTGATGCGTGAACTTTTAAAGTGTGTATCATTTTCTACCATACAAATACTTTTATAAGTTTACCGACCAAGTGCTTCAAAAGCCAGAAAAATGGGCTTATTATACCTTTCTAGTCTTTCTAGTACCGAATCTCAATTAATCCGTTTTTCAAATTGATATATATCAAGAGAAAATTGAGTATATAACTACTACAAAAAGTATAACAAGATTTTATGCAAAATCTAGTTTATTGTTAATTGATTTTCGAGCTTTTAAAGTATATGTCGGAGTTGAAATTGAAACCTAGACGAATTCTGAATACGCCTAGGCGATATTAGAATTCTAATTTCAACTGGCTACGATTGGAATTTGAACATCGACTAGTTGCAACACGAATAGCTCTAAACTGAACCAACTGGGATTAAAATTACAAGTAGAACTAGATAAGATATGTGAACTAACAAACTGGACTAGATGAGTTTACAATTTAAATTCTTTCTATAGGAAGGGGAACAAGGAAAACAATTTGACACTTCGAGAAAAAGAAGAAAATGATTTTCTTGTTGTGATATAGAAATTGTACAATAGAGTTATCTTAGGATTTAATTTAAGTCTAATGTTTCTACTCTTCATTCAAATAAACGTGCACAATACACAATAAAATCTACAATGCATGATCAGATATTACAGATATTCAAATCCGATGAGTATAAAGCACTTGATACAAAATTTAAATTTTAGGTAAAAGGAATTTTTTTCATATAAATCTTCATGAACTATCACTGATTGTTTATGTTTTGTTGAATAAACCATATCAAAGTCAACAACTTGTCAACTTTAACAATATGAATGTTTTATAACAGAAAGTGAGCATGTTTTTTACGGTTATAATTAAAAAACAGTATATGAATCAATTCACTATTAAAAAATACCCTAGAGTTGATTTTTTCGAAAAAATTAGTTTAATTCGATATATTTTTATTGAAAAATTAGTTTGTTCCCCCCTTTCTATAGAAACAGCCGGTTGAAAAGGGTTTAATTGTAACTCATCTAGTCCAGTTTGTTAGTTCACATATCTTATCTAGTTCTACTTGTAATTTTAAT